AATCAGTTGACATCAATGCAACTTACCCGCAGACAGTGCACAACAGAGTATCATTATTGAGCAATTATAAACAGGAACGTGTCTTGGCATTAGGGTTAGGGTCGGGTCAGGTATGGGCAACGGAATTATTAACAGGAACGTGTTTTGGCATTAGGGTTAGGGTCGGGTCAGGTATGGGCAACGCAAATGGCAAACACCCAATTGGCAAGATGTACACTAACGGGTTATGGCATGCATATAGTTTACACAAGTAAAAACACAAAATTGGCAATTTTTTGGACAATTGTAACTCAATAATAGAAATATGTTGTATTTCTATATATACACACACTATATAGTCTTATCAAATGCAAACACATCCAGTCAATCCATTGTGGTCTTGTGGGTCAGTTCTCTACATAGTGATCAGGAAGACCTGGGTTCAATTCCCTTGCCTGCCCATCTTTTTCTCGCAAACACCATTTGGCAATAAAGCTAAATATGACAACAAATTATTTAATTTGCATGACTACCCACATAGCTCAGTTGAGCAATGTGAGCGATCGCTGGTTCGAATCCAGTATGTTTAGTTAGATTTTTTAATGCTAGTGAAGACAGTGCTCCTATGAATAGGACTTAAATCCTAACTCCTGTGTGAAGACAGTGCGCTGGGAACTCAAAGATCGCAAGTTCGAATCACGGATTGGACACTCCTACAAAAGACATGAAAGACGTTAAAAACATAAACAGCGGATTCAAAAACTCAAGTCAGGAAAACAGAACGCAAGAATACTACCCCACATGGAAGCCAGTCGAAGTCGTCGAAGAACGAACACAGTCGAAGAACGAACACAGTTGACAGCTGTAGGTCACGTGCAACAACAGACACGAGGAGCATGGCTGCTCTCCAAATGGGTCCCTTCTTTTGTATTGACCCCCTAAGAATTGCTAATCCCCCTTTCTAACTCTTCCCCCAAAAATAATATATCGCCCCTTTTAGAATGTATTGACCCACTAATTAATGAATATTCATGAGCACAGAAACTGCTACGTCATGAATAAATTAGCATAATTTAAAAAAAAAATTGCATAAAGTGTAGGTACTCCTTCTGGAGCCCTGCCGCAAACTCCCTAGGAAAGTGCCTGTGAACATTGCAATATGGCAAGGGACTTTCTTATTATTAGATGATCTGATCCACATTTCTGTGACAATCTTACTTCCTTCTTGCGCCACTTGATATTAATTGGACCAGGGAGCTGTAATGAAATATTTGTTATCTATGTTCTATGGCTAAGTTGTCTGTTTTCATATTGCAACATTTTTGTAACAGGAATCTTATTTGCGGACTATCCCAGGGAAGTTGCATGTTACCCACACGAATCTCGTTTGGCCTGCTGTAATCAGAATAGTTCAACCAGGGAGCTGTAATGAGAGTTCACCACTTCCGCATTTCGACTGTCGCAATAATATTTTAGCAAATTGAACACTGGAAGACTTACCTAAAGGTTTCCGAAGATCGTCAAATACATCATAACGGTCAAGGTCAAGTAACATTTGTAATAATTCTCCAATGGTTGACCCTTTCATACCCCAGTCGTTCATTAACGATCTTGTCGGATCTTGGCTCCGTTCGAAGGTCTGTATTTCTAGCATAGAATAATCCATATTGTCGGCCAACATCATCCAGTCTTTGCCGGGACGAGGGATATTCATATGCTGGCACAAAACGAGTAACGATTTCGGCCTGATTATATTAGCTGGTATTGAAAAATATGAGGCGGGTACTCTGGCCTCACCGACTTCCTCAAACCCATATGCGCCAACTTCCGCCATTGATGTCGACGTCTCTCAACTCGTGCACGTTGACAAACAGGCTGCTATTGTACTAGTAACACTGACCGGCTGAACCAATCACGTATATTCGTTGACAGGACATTGATGCAATAAATATACGGTAAATTCGCCTGTTCAGCTCAGGAACGCTACCAAGAGATACTTCTCGATTTATCGTGAGTGCACTGGCACTGGAAAGTGATTCCAGGCTATTCTCGGTTTGGTTCTTGTATAATATAGTTCCGGGCATGCGCAGCATTAACCCGTCGAACGTCCCGTAGCATTTGTTATCTAGTTATTACTGTGCATGGTATTGCGACATATTCAGATTTCCTCGTTTACTTCGGTAGCTAACTACATGTAGTAGTACTAATACCCCTATTTCCTCATAAGCAAATCGCATTATTGTCCAATCAGAAGTCAGCTTAGGAAAGTATGGTGGTGGTTGTGGGAAATCCCGATAGTATTGTGAAATCACCGTGACCGATAATGCCAATCTCCCCAGGCAGAGTTCTATCGCGAATACTTTCGGTGATCTAACCGCAAGGAACTCTGGGAAGGAGAATGCGATAAGGCCTCTAGACGCGAGACTGCCCCAAATCAGACCTTGTTTCCATGCTTAAGGTAGCGAGAAGGGTTTTGTGACGTTTTTAAATAAAACATTCTCTGTCTGTTGTCTCGTTCAGAACAGTAATTTAGGTTATATATATCAAAAGACTAAGTATAGAGGTACAAGTTCGCACAAACTTGACAGTCATTGTTTACATAATTATCACGTGACATCAAAAATGGCGAACCTTGTAAAAATGACTAAGTACGCGATTGCGAGAGCACACTGCGGAATTTCCTGGTGAAATTTACGTCATGCATTGTCCGTAATCAAGCCCATTGAAATGCGTCTCCGATAATCAAAAGAGCTATTATTCCGATTTCTATGCAGATTTGTTTTTTTGTCCTTAAATTATTTCATACTTGGCACCTTTAACAGACTATTATTCTGTGACAAAGCATTTTCTTTAAAAACCCAGACATATTTCGCACCATCATTATCTTTTGAACGATAACTGCGAGTTTGAATGTCCTAGTCCGAACGCACTTGATTTGGCGGCGGTCCCAATGAGTCGTACTCGATCAAAAC